GTTTGTTTGTTGCACAATTGCTTTGCCTGCTCGCTTATTGTTTATTGCATATTTTGTGGCGCAGCGGCTTTATTGGTCGAGCCAATGTTATCATCGTAAACATAATGGCTGCATGCCCTGAAGAAATTTTGAAAACGTTTACTTGTGGAGCCCTTTTCCATAGCTCGGAAGTTGTAAAAACTGATATGAAATTTCGTAGTCTAAGAAATTCTAACCAATAGTATCTCTATCACCAAGGAAGCTGCGAAATTAAATCCAAAACAAGTAAAATCCAAAGCTATAATAACCTTTACAGGTTAATTTTTAATAGCATAAAAGGGTATAAAAATATGTTTATTCCTTTTTTGATTGGTCCGTTTGGATGCAGCTATATGCTGTAGTGGTCCGATTTGAACAATGAGTTGCATAATAATATATGCCATTAGGTATGGCAGATATATGTAGCTGTAGCCTAATCTAAACTAGCTATAGTAGCCTGATCTAAACAATTCCTTCGGAGATTGTAGCGACGCTTTAGACAATAATCTCAGCCACATTTCTTGATGATACCTCGTCAAATTAAAAAGTTTTCCATACAAGCACTTGATACCGTATGGCAGCTATGTGCTATAATTATCCGATATCAGCGGTTCCGACAAATGAGCAACTTCTTGGTGAGAAAAGGCATGTGCAAAGTTTTAGATCAATATCTCAAAAACTGAGTGACTAGTTCACGTATATTCGTTTACAGACGGATACCCACAGATAATAGTTTCTTCCTATTTCTTTCACCATATACGGTAGTATGTATGTAGTTTACCGCTCAATATATGTATGTACATATGAAAACGGTCATAGCATTTAAGTGATTATTTAGTAGGGTGTAGATAAGCGCGAAAAAGGCTTTTAAAGTCTATATTTAGAAAACTTAGCAAGGCCTAAAATTTCGCTCTATCGGTATCAGTAAATTGAAATCGATTACCTCGTCCAAGCTATTTCTATTTTTTATTTATTTCAGCTAGCGAAACTATTACATTATTTAACCACATTTTCCGACATGTTCGCGTTTTTCTGCAGGGTATGCTCTGATAAAAGAACATGTATATTTAAGCACTATAATTAAACAGGAGCACATATGTTTTCGTCTATGAATATCAATATAGTAATGCTGTGGTGTCCTTATTTGTACAAGCAAATATTAGTTTTATCTTCCTTCATTTCGACGGCCTTTAATGTTTTACTGCGGTTCAGTATTGTAAACCACAAAGGCTGTTCCACAAATCATGTGCAACTTGTGATAGCCGTTGAAGGACATTTTTAACATTTTCAAATTTATCACTTCTATATTGAAACCTAATACTTTCTAGGATAAGGGTCGCAGTGGTTTCTATTCCCAATAAATGTTTTATAATTCGTCAAAGAAAAACTTAAAGAGTTTGAGTTTGATTAGCAATTGCTAGACATAATTATAGTAGGCATAATAATATTAATAATAAATAATAAAATAAGTTTTCATGTATTTGTGCTATATTCAAGTATCTCACCTTCAAAGTGGAAATTATTGAAACCTATTTTTGACTAAAGTGTTTCTTATTAATTTTTAAAATCACTGCGCTTGAAGAAATATCAACAATATGGCATTCCAAAAACGTAGAAAAAAATGTCAATCCCCTAAGAAAATTATTTAATTCTAACATAAATATGCGTGTAGCCCACAATGACACTTATAAAACATAAAAGACATAAAAGTTATCGTGTAGGTTTAATTATTTCCCTCAAGCATTCAAAATTTCGAAAAAAAACTTTGGCCTCCAAAAAATAGTGGTGAAATGTTTAAGAATTTCTTACTTAATAACAAATTGTTGACGGAATTCTTTCACCGTGTTTTAGAAAATTAGCATATAAATTATGTGTTAGTTATGCTGCTGGTGGTACATATCTTATCACGCATATTTATGTAAATGCCAGTAACATATTTACTTAATTACAGTCATTTTGCTTATATCTTTTCATACTTTAGTATTTTCTGTGCTATTTAATTGCCATTTTGTGCGCAAAGCTCATAAAAAAATGAATTAATTAGAAAGTTTGAGGGTAAGATACTGTTAAGTTTAATCTAGCTTGGACAATAAAAGTTAATAAGTGCGGTTATTTGCGGACAACACGAAATGTGATAAAACATTGTAGGAGAAAATTCCAACACATTCTTTTAATAAATATGTTTAAAGTAGAAGCGAACTTCTGTTGCTCTAAATAATTTCTTCGTATTTAAAAAAGTGCAGGTTTCAGATTAAAATAACAAAATATACATATATTATAAAAAAGATTAAGTAAATAAGCAGCAAAAGCAGCAAATAATAAAAAGTGCTGCAGAAAATGTTCGAATCTACAAACGCGCAAATGAAAATTAAAATCTTCGCCCAGGAGCTACACTTTACTTTGTTTTTTAAATGTAATTTAACTATTTTATAAAATATATAATTGCTGTCTTTTATTTTCAAACCCATAATTTGAATAAAAAATAATTTTCAAATTTCTAATCCCAAATACCAGATTCAAAAAATAACCTTAAATTAAAAATGGTAAACAAATTTTAAAACCAAATTTATAATTAAAAATTTTAAAAATTGAGTTTTTCGTTAATTAATTATTTTTTATAAACTAACCTTTTTGATTTGACATAAATCTCTTTATTTTTTAATCCCAATATCTTCAATATTATGTATATATATATTTTTTTTTGTAATCCCAAAATTTTAATAAAAAATAATTTTCAAATTTCTAATCCCAAATACCAGATTCAAAAAATAAAAAATTAAATTTTAAGACCAAATTTATAATTAATAATTTAAAAAATTGTGTTTTTTTTATTAATAGTATAATATTAAATATTAATTAATTTTTATATACAATTTTTTTTTATTTCAGATAAATATTTTATTAATTTAATCCCAATATCTTCAATTTATTTGTGTTTTGTAATCCCAAAATTTGAATTAAAAATAATTTTCAAATTGCAAGACTCAAATAAAATTTTTAATTCATTTTAAAATGAAATGAAATTTTAATGCTAATCTATAATTAAAAATTAAAAAATTGTATATTCGTTAATTTTAAATTTTTTATTTTAATATTTTTTATTCCAAAATCTTTAATAAAAATATGCAAACACCGGATTAAAAAATTAAAAACAAAATTTTAATCCCAAAAACAGGATCAACGATAAAAAATTAAAATTTTAATCCTAAATACAGAATTTAAAAAAATGTTAAGCCTTCCTTTATAATTAAAAATTATCTATTATCTTTTAAAAAAGAAAGATTATTTATGAATTAGGATGATTTTTGGTTTAATTTTGCGATTAATAAAAAAATTTACAATTTCTAATATAATTTTTTTAATTAAAAAATTCTTGACCCTAGTCATAAGTAATAAATAACATTAAGCAAAATACTTTTACTTAAACATTAATCATTAACTAAAAAATTACAATACTGACTGCTTAGTATTGGCCAAAATAAAATAATTTTAATTTAGTAGCGAAACATTACATTGTAGTTACTTACCATTAAATGACAATTCTAACAGCTTTTACATACATATTTAGTTTTGCGCGAAACATGATCCAACTTGTCTGATTTTGTTGTTTATTTCATCATATCAACATGTCTTAACATATAGTTATTTGTTAAACGAAGAATATATATTGATTCAATTTCATTTGTACTGTTTACGAACTCAACCGAACCGCACTAAGAAACTTAAAACGAAAAAAATGCGATGCAAAAGCAAAATTAACCGCCATTTGACATCTTCATACATTTTATGCAGCAACCAAAACAAGCAAAACCGAACGAACGACCCGCACCGAACCGAACTGTGCCGAATTCTTATTGCTGCATTTGTATGCCTGTGTTAACCAACAACTGCCTTTACAGCAGTTAATTGTTTTTTCTATTTCAACACATTTCTATAAAACATTACAAATGCTTGCTTAACTGCCCTTAACACACCTTTAATTCTTGTTATTTGGGTTTTATAATATATTATTCACTTTAAACTATTAACAATTGTAATCAGTTCACTTTTTGTGCACAATTTAACGGAGAGCTTGCGCTGCTGCCTTTTCCTGCGCACTCAACTTAGCTTTTGACGTTTCAATACAAGGATGCCAGCTGAGAATTTTTTAATGAGTTTAAATTTTGTTTTGGTGTTGATAGTAAATATATTGCTTTATTGTATGTCCTTCGCAAAATATATAATATTTAAATTCTTCCTAAACAAAATATTGAAATTAAAGTTTTGGATGAGAGTGAAAAGGGAATATTTCTTTATTTTAGCGAGTATGGTGCTAAAAATTTTACAATTTTACATACGAATATACATATGTACATAAAATTAATATGTTTTCTTATTAATTATAAATTTCGATTTAAGTAAACTAAATACGTTCGTATAAGATAAGATAAAAGTTAGTTAAAAATAATTGAAATTCGAAATTACTTTAAAGTATTAATTTATTTTTTAACTTTTTTATATTCAACTCATTGATCTGGCAACATTGGCTATAAGAGGAAATGACAGGAAAAGAAATTATGTAATAAAGCGGAAAGAGAGCGAGGAAACGGAATTGAAGTCTTGTTGCAAAAACTGTATTGTAAGAAATATATTGTAGAATGAATTTTCTCAAATAAATAAGTATCCACATATATTTCTATTATATATTTATTGTTGTTCGGTAAAGCAACCAACGGCGAAGAAATTATAATTTTAGCTAATTTCCATGGGAATTCGTATGTGTATCAGTGATAGGGAAAATAGTGAAGTTTTGAACCTTTTGCCCATTTAATGAGGAAAACAAGGTATACAATTATATTAAAAGTTTACAACCTAAAAATCTCAAAATTTGCATTTTCACATAGTGGCACCGCTGTCAAATATAATATTATAAAAATGCAGGCTCACAAATGACTTTGACAGCACACTTACGGATCAAAAAGTTTTCTATTGTCTTTGATTGATGTCTACCAAATATTTGGTAAAGGTGTGAGTGTGTGTTGTTGCTATTTCGTTGCAATTCGTTTTTTTTTTTTGTGGTATGCGATGTTGGATGCTGGAAAAAACAAACGTGAAAATATATTTACTTATCTATTGTGTAGTGGATTTTTGTTTTAAACGGAGTTTCTTGCAAAGTATTAAGTTTGAACTAATTTAGTTCATTAATTTATAACTTATTTTTATTTTGTACATACATATTTTGTGATTGTATGGAAAATAATTATGTTGAAATACAGCTTTGGTGTACGAATATATTGGAAAGAAATGACGAAAAAGTCTAAAAATACTTGCTGGTAAGTAAAGAAATATTGGTTTTGCAAAATTACCACTTTTAAAAGAGGAATGGAATTAGAGTATTTCATATTGCTATATTTGAATTTTAAATTTAATTTATTACTATTTTGAATAAATTTAATTTAATTTTTAATAAATTCTATTACAATCGCACTTCTGTCACTTAAATTAAAACCACAATTGATTTTTATAAAAATTATTATGGTGCTAGATATTATTTTACGTAAAATGTTTAAGGGTACACAAAATAGATGAAAAAATCCAACTGTATGCTATATTTTGATTAAGACCGACAACGGTAAAACTCCGGATAGCAAATATGTGGATATTAGCATACACATATTTCAGACTTTTTAACTTGATTCAAACACCAAGCTTCTAACTTAAGATCTCTCAATTCGAAAAAAATTATGTGAAAATATTAAATTCAACCAAATTTGGTGGTATATGTAATATACGAGTAAACCATACATATGTACAAGTATATAGTATTATATGTTTATTGCTTGAAAAGTACCGCTCTCGTACCTAGGTTTAATAGGTACATTAAGGCTAGGCAACATTTTTAGCATCATGTTGAAGTATGATCAGAAAAAAGGCTAAAAAACGAATGATCAGATATGAGGTCTTGAAATAGTTTTGTAAATTTTTGGCATTAATAAAGACAGTGAGCACTAACATGACCACGATTGCATCTCGCTTTAATTTTTCCGAGGTCAATAACTTTTATGGAGTAAATAAACTTAACCGGCGTAGTGACCTTTAGCTTGGTCAATGATCCTTTGGCGGACAATAATTTTTTTTTACGGACTGACGTACGGACAGACAGACTATTACTCGGAATTCAACTCATCTCGTCATCCTGATCATTTATATACAACTATGATCAAAAAGTAAGGTGAGACATGGTGTGGTGCACTATTAATTCCTTCTGCCGGTCCAAACTGCTTGCAAAGAATATTATTTGAGCGTTATGCGTCGTTCGCATTAAGTTATTCGTCTGACATGGCCGGAATTTTTTTGCTAAAAACTCGACTCATATCGTTCGTATGAATTGGCCCCGTGCGACTTCTGGCGTTGAAAGACCAATACGGGAACGCATGACATGATTGAGGAATTAAAACCGAATGGAAAAAGGGCTGCAAGACTATACCGAAAATAAGACTGGAAAGTGTTTTTTTCGGACGAGGATTACCTTGAAGGAGATGACCTTGATTTGAAAGAATAAATATAGAATTTACTATTCATAAAAAATATTCTCTTTACTTTTGGAATGAAAACTTGCACATTATTGTGGCAAAACTGATAGCACAGTAATTTTTTTCTAGAAATTTCGAATAAAAAAACATGAAAAAAAAGTTTGAAAATTTTTAGACAATTTTTAAACTTTATCTAATTACTATAAGTATGTGCCAAGTATCAAACCTTCAAATATATGAACTATACTTTCAAGCAAATATTGATTGACACATCATAATTTGTATCCTGCTTCAATTGTTTTAAATTCTAACAGTAGTTAAATACTAATTAAAAAAAATTATTATCTTCCCGTGTATTTAGAAGATCAACCCTCAGTTTCTTATAGCCACTCTCCAAAAACACCACACATTCTTCATTATTAGATGTCACATTGCTTACAATTCTCGACTCTTGAGAGGCAAGATTATCCAATCGCAACTTTCTGTATTCCACCGCTTGAATTACATATGAAACTGACACCTGTGCCAGTAATAGAATTTAATATCATTTATAATTGAAAATAATTTCATGTGCAGATTTGAAGCGACATACAACAGATTTTCATATCTAAATTTAACGGTTTAATTATTTACCAACCCACTTAGTATTTTATAAGCATTACTTTTGGCTCTTATTTATTTTTCTCATTTCCACCGTACTTCCAAGATCCCGAGTTTGCTTCTTTAACGCGTAGCTATGTAAGCTCTTCTGTCACCGAGACTGCTTTCCGTATTTACTGTTATAAGTATTCATGCCTACTTTACTATTCTCGCTAATATTCCGTGTCGCAATGTCATTAGTTTTGTTTGTAATTTCGGCTGTCAGTATATCCTTTTGCGCCGTTGTCAAGCTCTTCAGCTAACGTGTGCTCTCGTTGCAACCTCTCCAAAACCCAAGCGTCTCACTCCAAAACTTACTTTGCTTTGTTCGTTTGTCTGACAACCTGTCTAGCGTAGGCACACTCCCATTCTGTCACTTACATACATCTACATATTTGCTTGTTTGTGTATTTGGTCTGTCTTGTCTGTTTTCCAACTGTCAACCTGTCTAACTTATTGTCTAATTTTGCGCGAACTTCAGAGATCAAGCAGACGCCGACTCGTCCAAAAGTTTTTTTCGCCGCCAGCTGCCACTCCTGCACCCCTCATCTACAGAACTTTCACTTTTCCACGAGTTCAACAAGAATTGTCGCTTAAGCAATTTTCATTTGTTGTACGCCATTTGTTGTACTTTATTAATTATGCAACAAACGCATTGCTGAAGTAAGGAAAATTCACACACATTCACACAAGCATACTTATAACGTTAAGTTGCGTTGGATTTTCAGTCAAGTGGTGTATTATTTCGTAAAGGTATTTATTCCTGGCACATTTAATATTATTTACCTTCTCTCTCTTTCCCGCTTACTCTCTTACAAATTAACTATTTATAAGCTTTTCGCATATTCGCACTTATTTACTTAACGCAAACACTTTATTTTGCTTTATTTGGATTTGTGTGTGTAAAAATATTTTCATTGCACACATTGCCACACTTTTACGACACCTGCATTGTTGTTGCTCTTGTTGACTCACAATCTGATCAATTTGTTTACAGGATGATGAAATCACGCTTTTTATCACACCTCGTCCAAAAAAAAAAAAAACATCGCTAAGTGGTGGGCACTCAGGCTACAACTATTCGCAACTAACGGCCCCACATCGGCCTCTTTTGCACGTGCGCTTGTGCAAACAACACTATAATCCTCCGCTTACGCAATGTTCACTTTGTTTACCTTGGCATTTGCAATTTTTTTGCCGGCAAATATTTTTTCTCCTTGTGTCAATAGTTTTTACCGACGAATTTGTGTGACGAGTGCGTGAGAGTAGTGCGAAAATTTGTTATAGATTTAATAGTGACAGCTTTTAATAGAATATTACTGAAACCATATTTATTTTATCGAACATTAACTGAAAGTCAAAAGAAACAATTTAGTGACCAGTTTAATAAAATCTGTAAAGCTGTAATACATGGATCTCTTTAGGACAAAATCAGGGGGGGATAAATAACAAACTTCAAAACTCGTCTTTCAGCTTTTCGACATTCTCTGTAGAACAACGCCAAAATCTCGGAGTCCCGTAGAAGTCCTTGAGAAGTTTCAACAAATACTTTGTGAAACCTGAAGCTAACCAAATCTAATCGGTGTATTTCTTTCTGTATATAAAAAAAATAAACATAGTTTATATACAGGGTCTTCCAACAATAACGACGTGATGTTAAAATGACGACGCGGGTCAAATTACATGGGAATATTTGTGTCGCAAAGTACAGGCATTTGTTTTTTTTTTTTTGTGCCGGTGTTACCTGTACCATCTTCAGTTGCGTCCTGTTGCATTATGATCGGTCGATCGATTGCCCTTGTCCGATTGTCCGACTTTTAATATCTCCTGGATCGATTCTAAAACACTAACTGAGATATCAAGGAATCATACCTCCATTGTGCTTGCAAGTTAATACTGCCTCCAAAAAAGTTACCACCAAAGGCTTTTGACCACTATTATTTATAAGTGCTAGAGGTTCAATCTATGATCTTTTAGGATTCTTACTTGGAATAGCCTTTTTAAATATTGTAGAGAATCCGAAGCTACCACTCAAATTCTTCATTTAAAATACAATTTATTTGCATTAAGAGCAAATTAACTTCTTCTTCAACTTCTAGCCAGACGCTCCTTTTAGAATAGATGCTATAGATTTTTTTACTCTTGTAGCCAGTTTCTTTAAATTTTCATCTTATGCAGCTCCTCCAAAATGTTCTTAGAGAGTTGGTTGCCCAACCTCAGTCAAAGGTTAATACCCTTGCCTAATGAAGAGTAGGAATTAAATCGGGACAAATTCAGCATGTAGAGCTCTTAGAAGACCTAGTTTATACATTTTATATTAAAATATAATATTTAATACTAATAATGTTGCTTCAAATTTCGTTTTTGCACAAACCGAATTAAAATTCTATACCTCCAGAGTCCATCCCACCGCTCATTGCACAATTAGAACGCATTTGAAGTACGACTTTGTTGCCCAGAGTACTTAACTAATATTATCTAATACTGGTAATGCACGAAAGTGGCTACTTGATATTTCTAATCACAAGCCATTTGTCATGATTCATGAGCCCGAAGCGAATTAATGGACCACACACGCAACTACATACACATGTGCATGACTCCTAACTGCTTGTAACTGCAGTGGCTCTCATGTGTGGAGCATATGAATATACATATATATGAATGCATAATGCGATTATATATAATCTGTATATATAATAGGATATCTCTATGTAGGGTAATAAGAGGGCAAGAGTACTTTACCAGTATTACATGATTATAATTAAGGTATTCAATTGTTTTCTAGCGGACCTTTACACACTTATTTATATACATATAATTTCACATACATACATACAAGTATGTATGTATTTATAGTTATGTATAAGTGTGTTGCGAAAATTAGCGCACAATTGAGCAACGCTTACATAAACAATAACAACAATTAGTATGCTGGAAGTAAGCTCTAAACACAATTTCACTGAACAATTCATTGAGCAGAAGCTTGTAAATAGCAGCAAACACTCACATACATACATACATGCACAACTTATAAACACCAGGATGCGCCCAATTGCTTGCATGTGTTTGTATGTGTGCGTGTGTGGTTTGTGGCAGGTAAATGCATGCAAATTAGCAGATAATTACCACAAAATGTTAAATAAATAAAGTAATCAATT